CACACACACACACAGACACACGTTCCATAATCCTATTTGATGAGGCAATATCTTAATGACACCTGATGTGGCCCCTTTGGCCCCCCTCAAGGAGGTCTGTCCTCAGTCATCATAATCAGCCTCACTGCTTCTTTTAGAAGAAGACAATCTATATAAAGTGAAGGGTCTCAGTTGTATCACTGCAGTTATTTTAAAACAACCCTGTTTCTGCTGTCATTGTGTGTCTGAGGAAGACATTCGCAGACTCTATGAAATTCAACAAAGTACTGGTTTTCCTTGGAAATCAGAAACTTATAGGTGTGATAGTCTGATTGTAAAGTGTCTGCTTTAAGGTCTTTGTACGTTGATGCAGCCTAATGTGTGAATGTGTTTTGAATTGGTCAGCAGCTCTTTTATCCACAGTCAGACTGGACAGTGTGTTTGGTGCGATGTAGCGGCTAGCCTTTGGAGCCCATTAAATCCAGAGGCTGTTTTTCCTGCTGAGTCTCACTAGGCCGTGACAGGGCCGGAGAGGGCTGCAAGGGGGGAAACAAATAGCCCAACTCATCCTGGCCATAAAGAAGGTTGCACCACAACCCAATAAGGGTCTGACGCTGATGAATGTGACCAGGGACAGAAAGGCGACCCAGGCCAGTCTCCACCAGAAATGAAACCACAGGGATATAAAATAGGTTATTATCGTCACACAGTGACAGCCAGACGGACAGAAGGGAAGAGATGGATGGACAGACAAAGTGACTAAAAAGGAGGTTGAGTAGGAAGAGCAGCAAAGGATTAAGGGACTGATTACGACCGAAAAGCCCAAGGTTAGATAACCTCAGAATCCCTCCTGAATCTGCCGTAGGAGGAAGTGACTTGTGCTTTTTGCCTGGTTGTGAGGTTTGATATGCTCAAGTGCGTCAAGGTTTCAGCAACAAGATGCATATTCTAATAGCTCCACATAGACAGAAGAGCTGCCAGCCTCCATTCAAATGCTGCCACTTGATAAAGATCAAGCACTGACAGAGAATCAAGAATTGTGTATACAAACAAGGTGTTTTCTCAAGGTTGACCAGCCCAAAATCACATCATCAACAATGACACCAGTCAGATGCACGCTTCAGCTCTTCAGGGAATTACAGGAAGTACAAATCTAATTTGTAATGTTTATGAATGTATTTTTAGTAAAATATAAAGACTAGTTAGCTGGGTTTTTTAATGGTTTTTGTGATGTACTTCATCCAGTGTGTCAGTGAAAGATTATATGAATGGGCTGAAGGTAGAGAGTCTATCTGTGCACAGCTGCTAGCACTAAAGATCATTAACAAGTGAATATGCAAAACATGATGCAGCAATCTTACATACTGCATCCGTATTGCTGATGATACTGTTGGACATCTCAAATTATAGCTAAGAGTTAGATATGTAGTCACAACCTATGAAATATGATCCCAATCAGTTGCACATAGTGAGAGATGCAAGTTTTAAATTGAAAAACACACACACACACAAAAAAGACGTTGGATTGGTGCAGACTCACCGGCAAAGGCATGGGTGGGGTGACGGGCGAAGGGAGACTGCGGGCTGGCGACTGGTTGGGCCGGTGCGGCGGGGACTGCTGCAGTTGTCCAGAGGCAGAGGAGCAGGCAGAGCCTGGAGACGGGACAGAGGTCTGCTGCTGGCTGGGCGGAGTCATGTGATGTTGGGATGGCAGCTGGTTCTGGGTGTGGGAGTGGGTCTGTTGGTGATGGTGTTGCTGCTGTTGCTGCTGATGTTGCTGCTGTTGCTGCTGCTGGTGGTGGTGGTGCTGCTGCATCTGTTGGAGCTGCTGCAGGTGTTGGAGCTGGGAGTTCAGTGATGAGGTAGCTGTTGAGGAAAGGACAGCGAGTTGTTTGATTCCTCTTTGTGCTTGAGACACAAACACAAATGAGTGAGAGTGAGACAACATGTGTTCTGGCACATAAACAAGAAGCCCTCATTATTTGAAAAATATACGCTCACACCTCAGATAGAAATACATGTACACATGGAGGTGTGGGATGCATACGGTGAACAGTGAGAGACATGTAAATAACATGAAGCCACAACAAGGTCCTCCAGGGTTTTTACCCAGCATGATAGAGTCAGTGAATTTAATTTAGTTGGAGGACAAAGCTATCAAGCCTGACTGATATAATTGCTCTCTCTGGAGCCAAAAGTCTTCATTGTCACTTGAAGAAAGTCAGAATCTTTGGTTTAATGGCTTAAAATCTCATAGGAAAGAGACATCCATCTTCACTGGAAGACTTCAGAAATAAACCCATTAACTAATTGGATCCAATAATGGCACGCCATTAGAACCTCATTTCCACATTTAAATTTTTATGCTGTTTAAAAAAACGATGAACACTCTGGCTGAGCCAAGCTGCAGCCACACCAGAATGCAAATACTCCCATGGACTCACAATGTCCATCTCGGATATAATACAAAAAATATCAAATAAATGTAAAAATATTGAACTTCATGGTAATTTTCTATGGTAGTTCACTCAAAAACATCTGAATACAGAGTTTGGTGGCTCATCTATCAGTTCACTCACACACACACACACACAATGTGTTTGAATGTCAGAAGAAATCCATACCACAACACAGACAACAAATAATGTCTACTAAAGGTGTCAACCGTAATACCATATGTGGAGAATTGGGCTAAAAAACAACATCTAAGCTGACCTTCTTAGCTCCTTAAATAGAAAAAGGACAAACTGAGTTTCCATACAGATTTGGGGGATAGAAAGGTTTTTTATACCTTTGCTCACATTCAGAAGAATCTTGACAGCCTTTTTTTTAAGTCAGAAAATCCTTGAAAGAAACTATATTCTATATAGCAAAACAGTCGTATGTGTTCAGTGACACGAAAAGGTTACTCACAGGTCACGCTAAATGCAAAAGGCATAAAATAAAAAAACAAACTGGTGACTCTAAACTTTAGAATATATTGTTCCTACAATGACTACCACAGTTAATCTGAGTTTGTGCTGTTGGCTTTGACCCTGTGATGTTACACAGCTTTGTAAAGAAAACAAAAGCATAAAAACAACAGATGACCATGGCAGGATCCAACCTGATTTTCTGTGGATTAAAACATGATACAAGCTTGGAGGGGACGAGACACGATGTGATTGTTGATATCTGACTGGACTCAACACACTGGACCTCAAAGCAGAAAGAAATTGAGACAAATTTCCCTTCACTGAGAAAGGCAGGGTTGAGATATTTCTCAAAATTACTGATAAAAAAAGTTTTTAAAATCAATCTTGCTTAATGAAAATTAAGTTTATTGCGTATTTTCTACAACTGTCTCTCTCTAAAACGAATTGAATGAAATAGATTCTCTCCAGAAATTTCTCAATGATATAAATAAAATAAAAAATGCCTCAACCTGTGTTCACACTCCCTAATTGCAGCTCATAATGTATATATATGATGAAAGACCCCTCACTACAATCTAATATCTTCAGCATTATGAGAAAGTACACACTATTAAAATGAAAAACACAAAGGACTGAATAACAAATGCTGGTTCAAAAGCGTGTTTGTGAACATCTATTGATAACACAGCCAAACAATTGTGAACACGAGCGTAGACAAGCTTGTATACATACGGAATCAATGCACTTAAATAATTTAAGTATGGTTGCCTCATAAAAGATGAATAAAACATCAGGGCAGACAAGTCTTTGATTAGTGCGGCCACTACGACTCCAGGACAGGCACAGATGAACATTTGATGAAGATCAGATCATCCTCCTCTTTCCTCTCTCTGCCGAAGCACAGCCAAAGAAAAGCCAGTAAACAGTACACTTTTACATTTCTTCTACCTCCTGACACATTGACACCTCTCTCACACCCCCACCATGAATTATATATCATCTGTGCAAACGGCGAGAGTCCAATTCTCACTTGAAATGTTGGGGCAAGTTGTGAGTGCTGAGCCCCTGACAGGACCCGGCTCTTTTCCTTTTGCAACTTCGCAAACGACAAAATGTTGAGCCCTATTTTAAAGATGGAATAAAAGGGAACAAAGACAACAGAAAACAAAAGGCCGATAAAATGAGATTTCTGTCAGAAAATTATCGAAACCAGGCGAAGATCAAAGACGATTGGAGAATTTCCTGCAGCGCCAACCATTACGCCGAGGAACAAGAGGTACAACAAAAAATATGAGGCAAAAGAAAACAAATACAGAGGGAATATGGAAGAAGCCCCATGTGGCCTTATTATAAGGGCTACACCGCAGGTACTATATTCTTTAACAGCAGTGCTTTATAAATTCTGTCATCTTGTTAAGACTGTCAGGACCACTGACCCTCCCTTCCCCTCTAACTGGGCAACTGGCATTCTGAAGCTCATTCTTTTAACCACAGCTGTCTGATTGCTTTGGTTGAGCACATAATCCAAACGGCTTGTCTCAGCTAATTGTTTGTGCTCCTTCCTCCAGCAGACACGGGGCCGAGGATGAGAGTGGGAGCTTCACTTATGATGGAGAGAGGGCAAAAGGGTGCCGGGATCCTATAGTGCTCATTATATCTCCCACTGTCTCTTTGTTGTGTTTCATATTCACTAGTCCTCCGACTGCGAGGCAAGCAGCGCTCCCACTTAGTCATCACGCCCGAGGGGTGTAGGAGCACGGGTCCCACTTTCACTGCTGTCACAACTCTGCCTATGTTAATGTTTATAATGAGGAATGAGCCAGATCATAGAGGAGAGTCACGCAGCTAAATGACCAGATACAAGCTGAACTGTGGCATTTTGTGCTCCATTTAAACATTTAACAACAATCATTTGGGAGTATGAAACACCAGCACTGAGAATCTGAGGCCTCCAACCTCAGTGCTTTGAAGAACTGTCTGCCTCTCTTCAGGGCTCTTTTTATTTATTTTTTATTTTTTTTGTGCTTTAGTGCCACAGAAGAAATCAACTGTTATCTTTGACTGTCCCGGCCCCAGCTTCTGAAGTACTGGAGGACGAAGCGAGACTGATTGTCAGAGGTCGAAAGGCTAGGTCAAAGCCGGCTCATTCGTCAGACAAAATGCTATTTTTGTTTCCTGTGCGGTTGAGAAGTGAAGGGGTGGGTGGGGAGGGGGAGCAGCCTGCTCTCTCATTACCAGCGCTATCTCAGTAGTCTCTGCCAACCCCCCTATTACGGCACTTTTCTCTCTGGGGCTGATTCGAGCTTGAATCCTTGTTTTCCTCTCAATGCACAACACCTAGGTTTACAACTCTTCCCCATGAGTTATCTTATATGTTGTTGGTGTGTGCGCATGTTTGTGTACAAGTGTCGTCAGGACGCAAGTTTTTTTTACATTTCTTGAGGTGAAATTTAAGGAACTAACCAACCCAGGATATCAATGCTGGAAAACTAACCACAAACGCATAGTACTGTATGTGTCAAAATGAGTGTTTCAACTACTGCACAAGTTGGATTTATACTTAATACACACTACATGCCATATCTGATTAATGTCATACTAACTGATACTCTACATTTATTGCATTAAAAGAAATACAAAAACAAGTACTGATACATTTAAGCTGTCTAGAAAGCAATTGTGAACAAATGCTCATCATATTATAGCCCTTAGAAAAGGCCCAGCCAAGGCCAACATGAAGAATGACTGCAGTGTAACAGCAATCACAAAAGGACTAAGGACTATCTTTCACTCCATCAAACTGTGTGTGCTCCACGCAGCATAAAGTACGGTCAGGAGAAGGCGAGAGATCATCTCATGTCGAATGAATTCAAGTTTTCTGGCCGTCAAAAAGGAAAACATAATCCACAAACCTTGAACAGAAATGTACTGAGTTCACAAAAATGAATAAAATCTTTAGTGGCTTTTGTGTAAAATCAGTCAATTATAAGCATATGTGCATTGTATGACTTTCTTAAAGATAAGGTCATTGCTTTTTGAAGTAGTTCACATAGTTGGAATATGTGCATCACCTTTTTCTACTCAGCTCAGATACATAATTAAACTGAGAACCGAAAAATGTCAACTCAAATCATCCCTAACTGCTGTTATACCGTCTGAATGTCTTTGCCATCATTTAGGAGCGCTGTAAATTAAGAGCTAATCAGAAGCTGCGGAGGAGCCTGTCAGGAGGTAATGAAATTGTCCAATGTGAGCAACCTTGTATTTTTAGGAACTGCTCTAGTCTAAACACAGCTGTCAGTCTCTAATAAGAGAGGTGAGAGGGGACAAACAAAGCTCCCCATTACTGCTCTGCCTCACGTTCCACTATGGGAGTCCATAAACCACTGTCTCAATTGCCTTTTCAGTGAGTCACACTGATAATTACTCCACTGGAGGTAAGGAGATTTAGACTCTATGAGATCTGGTAATTACAAAGGTGGTCAAAGGAAGGTCATTTTTACTCTGCGGATTAGATCGGAGCACTTGTACACTGATGAAGTGGATAACATTACTGTTTCTGCATTCATTTCTTTACTTCCACTGTTAACTTTTATCACCATTAGTCACTTGTTACATATCACGAAACATGAATTACTTTAATTAACAATCAATCTGTCAGTTGTGTTCTTTCTATATATTGTTTAGTCTATAAACCATAAACTTTTACAACTAGGCTCAAATGTGTGTTGAAAAAAGACACGAAAAAAGAAAGAACTGCAAGCAATGTGTTGAGAATTTAACGTTAACTTTTGGTATTTGATTCATAAATAACAAAGACAATGAATAAGTTACCAAAATATTTTATATTTAGCAACTTAAGTTCACTCAACTGGCTCATCACCAGTGGCAAAAGTAGTAGTAGTAATACTGCAATATAAATACTCCATTACAAGTGAAATTCCTGCTTTAAAAACATACTTAAAGTATCAAACATAGCAGTACTCATAATGCAAATTGGATTATTATTACTGTGTACTGTTTCACTGTTACAGCTGTCAAATAAATGCAGCGGAGTAAAAAAAAGTACAATATTTTCATCTGAAATGTGGTGAAGAAGAAGTATAAAGGGGTATAAAATAGAAGTATTTAAAATGCATACTTAATATTTACAGTGAGTAAATACACTTAATTACATTCCACCACTGTAGCAGTTTAACATATTTGCATATGGTTTCATGTATTTTAATATTGGAAGGCACAACCAAAGCAAAGTTGGAATTTCACCGGCTAAAGACAAACAAAGGTTTCACAGGTTTTCTTAACACAACCTGGAACACAAATTTGTGTTACCAGTGAGTCCATGCAAATGGTAATCATGTTAAAGGAATGGAAAACAGATTCCTGCCTTGGCAACGGCTGGAATAAACATAGAGAAAATGAAACGTTAAAGGAAGTGGTGATCTACTGAATAAAAACATTACTCAGAGCAACAGCAGGCAATATCACTGTTTCAGTCCTGCTGCAGGAGGAACTCAGCGACTACAAAAAAAATATAGGCAGTTAAGATTTGAGCGGAGTCGCGGAGCCACAGGGTTTTAGAGAGTAAACCACATCGCTTGTAGGGATCCAGAGATAATGCTTTCACTTTGTGATGCAAGGCAATATCAAGCTGTGTTGTAGAATTCTCACTCTGGGGGAAGCATTTCAAAGAATCAAATCCTCTCCATGGAGATGTTACACATACAAGAAAATCCCTATGTGCTCGATAATGTTGCCCTTTTGGTGTTGCTTACGCTAGGTTATTGATTTCCAAAGTGTGGTCCAGGGACCTCTCGGGGCCCTTGAGAGAGTTCCCGGGGGTCTCAAGCACAGTAAGATCTATTTTAATTTCATGATTTCCTTCCTGAGAGAAAACATATAAAGATTTTTGTAAATTGTAGACTTTTCTGCTTTTTAATATCAACCTGTGCAATCAAAATATGTGCTAATGAGTAAGACTACAAAAGTTAATATCATAGGTTAGCTGAACTCTCTGTACTGCAGGGTTTGATTTTGTGAAAAATCTGCAAACCCTTGGCCCTCGGTGGCACAAAGCATCTGTTTTTATGTAGGTCTAAAACTAAAAATCTTTGCAGATGTAGTTCTTTGGGACAAACCCTTATTCAATTATGTGAAGCATTTGAAAGATTTATGATTAGAAACCTCAAGATGTAGTTAATTCATTGTTTTTTATGCATTTCCTTGAAGTTTCAATGCTTTAAATTTTCAAGAAATCACATTACAAGAAATTATTTAATTATATTTAACTATACTGTTACAGCCAACACCTCAGAACAAAACCAAACCAGCTACATCTCATGTATACATTGAGAGCTTTCCCTGTTTTTGGACATGGTTTCACTCTGATTTCATACTATGTGGACACTGTGTAGTACTGTGGTGCCCAGTAAGGGGTCCTTCGCTTTTGTCCTTCAGAGTCCAGAAGCTGCCGGACCCCCTCCCTTCTTTAAGAAAAAAGAGCCTGTCTGCCTGGCAGGACAGACTGGGTTATTACAGCGTGTTCATGGTCCCATCATGTGTCGTCAGACCAAAGCGGAGGCCGCGAGTAAAAGCCTCATGCAAAATTTATGTTCATGCGGCTGTTTCAGTGGGTGGAAAAATCAATATTGCGGGCCTGATGCACGGAGATGACTGAGTGCTCTCTGACTGACAGTAAAAGCTGTGAGAGATTGAGGGGCTACATTTATTGCTCTGGAAATGGAGTGGAGTAGAGTTGGCCTAATAGTCTAGTTCACCTTAAATTTGAATTTCATTGTGGATTATTTTGGTAACAGCTCGGATATTGAGGGCTTGAAGAAATTACGCCATTAGAGAAAACGAGAACAAATCATGAATAAGCAAGCTTGTTTTCAAATCGTCTTGCGTTGCGGTTTCTGAGCAGCTAAAGTATTGTATATTATGGGGTTATTAAGCCTTCCCTTCCTTTCCAACTTACACAGATATAAAATGATTGTAGAATAATCAAAAGACAATGTGGGTATGAGGAGGACATCATAGGGCTTTTGTTCTATGCTGCTTCGCTTACATATGCTTTTGATAGCGTGCCACATACCCACAGTGCATTTGGGGAGGAATGTGAGAAGAGAACGAAAAGAAAGTGAGAAAAAGAAATTCAGTGGGATGAAATAACCCCAAACAATGGGATTTGCTTTCCATTCTTCTGCCTCCATCTTCTGTCTTTAATTATTCCCTTTGGTTGTCTGAGGGAGCGTGTAAGCACTTTCACACAGCACAACATGCCCAGCAGCACAACACTGTCTGCCTTAGTGATGTGGAGACTTCTGAGTGACACTGAGCCTCTTGTGATTATTAATGCTGTTTAATACAACACAGAGCAGCCACTATGATTGAGGGAAAAAACAGATTTCAAAATGCATGCATTCAAAATGCAATGTGAATGGAATTATGTACTACACGAGCACTGCACTTGAGATACATTTTCCCACTGCTACATAAACAACGTGTACACCACGAAATGAAGGCTAATGTTTTGTAGATGCAACGCTGGAAATGTGTATTTGATAATAACTACCAAGTGTGCTCTATTTTGTACACAGTGTTTAATGGAACCTCAGCTGATCCTGGTGGGATCCTTTGTGCCGGTTTAGTAGTTTCTTCCTGAATCGCATATGAGATATTTGAGAGCCCAGAACGATGTATGATGAATGAAGTAGCATGCTACTTATACGCTTATCGTGCTCACTGACTAGCAACAGGTTCAGCAAAGGGCAGCGGCAGTAAATGAAATTCCGCACCGGGACAATATATCATCAAAAGAAATGTATGCACCCGAAACTTACAAGCCTTCTCCAGATGCGGACAAGGTGCCTGACGGGGTTGGGGGAGGGGGTGAGGATGGGATAGTAGCTGAGAAAAAAAAAAGGTGGGGTAAGAGGAAGAATGGGGTGTGGGGGGGAGGAGGAGGGTTTTTTTTTGCTGGATGGGTGAGGAGCAAGCAAGGGGAAGCAGCAGATTTTGTTGAATCAGTTCTATTTTCATACTGGCTGATCTGTGTCTTTTAACCATTTCACTGCAGCTGGAAAATGAAAGTACCAGGGCTAATTTCACAGTGAGAGCTCACTGAACAAAACCCCCCACGGTCTGTGGAAAAAGGTGCTAAGTCTACTTTGTCATTGTGAATTACAGCAGTGTAATTCAGGAAACGGGCTTGCGTGTAGGAGAGAGAGAAGTAGAAAATATATTCAGAAAGAGAGGCATGAAAAGCCTTTTTTTCCCTCTCTAGCCTGATATGTTCTTGGTGAGGCTTACTTATGATCTGTAAGTAACAGATATCTCTCTCCAAACATGCCGTCCTGTACTGATGCCACAGGATCCATCTGTGATGTGTCTGCAGTTAGTCTAGAAATAGCACCCACGGGACTTACACGCTCCTCAGGCCTCCTACGGGACCTTTTAAGCTGCACTGATACTGATAAAAGCCCCCACAAATCTGGCCCCCAGATACTTCGACCATTAATTAAGGTAATTAGGCCCTGGTCAGCAATTAGTAACCACAGATAGCTTTTAGCAGGAGCTGAGACGTCCCGGCTGGTGAGGGGTTTGGTTCCATACCATCTGCTGACAAATGTCACCGCGGACTCTTTGGTTTCACAGACGGGGAACTGGAGAGCCGTGTTTAAAAATGACCTCTGTGTGATCCAGGCTGACTCCTAGACTCCCACAGCTTCTGCTGCTGCAGGATCACTTTGTTTGTTCTTTCTTTGGTTCTTTTCGCTTTCAAACATGGAAGAGCGAGCTCTATGAAAATCCATACATGCTGCACACGGCCAGAGTGGGAATAGGAAACATTCACTGCACAAGGTATCGATCAAAATTAGAACATCTGGTCTGAGTGTAAGTAGTATTGATTGGAGCGTAATGCTACATTGATTTGCTTGTATTATTAAGTCTGTGATAGATCCATATTGATAATATGTTAGTTTACATTATAATGTTGTATACAGTTATATTGAAAGTGAGGATATATCATATTTTTACTGCACTTTAAGTAGATTATTTATATGAAAACATTCCTCTAGACACAAAAAAAATGTATGTAACAAAGTCATGCCAACAATACAATGAGAGGAAACGGCCATTAACATCCTATCCAATCTTTCATACATAGTACCTATGATGCAAATTCACAGGAACTCACTAACAAAAGCAAAGACCTGCTGAATAAATGTGAGAAACATCCACATAGAAATGTGGCATTTATACTAATATCAAAATAAAGCAGTTTGTGTATTTCATCCTGTGGCAAAGGTGTTTGATATAAGGCGCTGTGAGTAGAACAGACTGATAAAAACAGGCTGAATACACACATTCAACCTTAGTGAACAGATCATGCAATAACTCACATTACTGGGGAATGGGAAATAAAGGATGCAGCTGTGCTACTTTACACAATTCCACATTTGAAGCAATCGGTGATAACACCATTTTCATTCCGGTTCAGTCCCATAAAATTACCATTAACATTACAACTCATGCAGAACACAGATAAATGTAAAATGTCACCCAGTTCTGCCAGGCGGGAATTCCAGTTCCACAAGATTACCATCTCTGTCTGCTCTCTCCCACTGCACCTTGTCTAATATTTCATTTACAACATTTCATAAGTTCATTTTCCCCTCACTGACCATGTAAATCACAAATCAATTTTCATTTAAAATGCTTGACTACAGATTGTTGCTGAAAGCTTCTGAATTGCGCCTCAGCAATATGGCAGACCTTTAGCAAATCTTTCGGAAACAGTCTGGCCAGGAAAAGGGAGGGGGAAAAAAAGAAAAAGTGAGATGTAATTTCTACAAAACAACTCCGGGGCCAAGTGGTCAAGGCATTTACTGGAAGCCTTTTACAAGTGTTGAAATATCATGAAAACAATACAGCATTATGTATTGTAATTTATATCAGATTCAGTGCTCCCTCAGACTTGTGATCGACTGGTCTACTCAACAGGAACAATATGCTGATTATGTGATGATGAAAAAATTAACTGTATTGATTGTGCATGATTGTTGTGGATATCCAATCAATATATGCAACAATCTTAGATACTGAATAGTTATTAAGGATATCAGCGTGCAGGAGTTTTAGCAAAGCTTCAGATAATTGAGCTCTTATCAAAAAAATGCTCACATAACTTGTAATATTTTTAAAGTAAACTGTTAATTTGGTTGAGAAGACAAAACGCACGTGCATGTTTCACATTAAAAACTTAATTACACCAGGCAGAAGGTAATCTGTTATAGCTCAGGAGCTAAGGGAATAGAAAACAGCTGGATTAAAATGGAACAATTTTACATGTTCCTAATCATTCATGTAATTGGAAGCTAATTTGAGAATTTGTCATATTAACATTCAGACTTCTAATTGGGAAACCTATCCTTGCCTACTACACTTCTACTACAAAATCCATTTAAATAAATGCATTACACTCTCTGCATTCACGGTGCAGCAAACAGCAACAGTGTGTAATGTCGAGAGACCGTCTTGTATGTGTGTTTATGGCAGGAGGTTTGCAAAAAGCCTCCCTCAGTGTTTACCAGTGAGGGCAGATGTCAGGGTTTGCAGTGGAGGAGCAGACACAGCCACATCTGATTAACAATATTATTGTCCTCCTCCACACCGCCATAAAGACTCATCCTCCCTCCCTTTTTCTTTTCTTTCTTTCTATTTCAGGCTCTGGCAGCGTGCTGTCCTGTGGCATGGCTGAGCCAGAGTGACACTGCCACCATCCACAGAAACAAAACATGAGTCAAGAGCCAGAAGGTTAAGACAAACAGTACAACTGTAAACAGAAAACATAGATATATATATTTATATAAAATATAAATATCTTGGGGTGCATACGTTAAAAAATCATCAGCATATCTGCAACAAGTGAAGCACCGGGGGGTAAAATTTACTTACATCTGCGCTTCAAAAAAGACATCAGAGTATAAATCATGAGTCTCAAGGGAGTGTCTGTGTGTGCATGTACAGTAAACCTGCGCATCATCCCGAGTGTAAATCATGTGTGTTTGATTCGAACCCTCTCATCGCTCCTCTGTACATTTTGATTGGTGATTTTTTTTCTCCTTTCCGTCGCCAAACTGTCACAAAGGCAGTAACCCCACACGTTTCCAAGCTGCTTATTGAAGACAAACAATAAACCACTGGCAGATATCAATGGCAGAGATGAGAACCCGAGTGCCATATCTGCTGGGACTGCCTGGCGAACCTGCCTCTGCCTGCGCTTCATCTCCAGCAGCACCTCTCACTCTCAATTATTTGGCTGCTGTCACAACAAATCAATCAAATTACCGCTCCAGGACTGTGTGCAGCTGCTCCTATTGCACCGCTAGTTGCATTAGCTTTGAAATGTATGAGGTCTACATTTTATCACTGTTATTTATTTAATGCAGCTCTCTCCCCTGTGAGTCATCTTACAACCACAGCAAAGTTAAATCATTAAAGGACGACGTGGAATACATACTGCTTGAGAACACCTCAAATTAAACAGCGATAAGGGAGAAGGGATGGGTTTGGCCTCTATTGTGTTAAGATGGCAGATGTTGATGTGAGGAAATGTGGACTGCTTGCACTGGGTCCTCTTAATGTACTCCTCTACTGGCTGAATGTGCACAAAAACAATGGCTTATCATCCCAAAATGATTCGACAAATACACACATGAGAAAAAGAAGCCCACAATGAGCAACCGGTGCGGCTATAACAAGCCCAAAAAGGATGCTTTGAATTCTCCATCTCCGATAATATAATGGGTAAAGGGACACAGAGGCATTCCCACAGCACACAGAGGTTAAGTCAGTGGCCCGGCCCGGTGATCTAACCTCTTAAAGGAGCAGCAGTCAGCTGAGGCAGAAGAGATGCAGTCTGACATGTCTAACTAGTGTGGAAACATTTGGTTCTTCCCCCCCAGGAGCCCACCCTTTGGTGGTGTAATGAGCACAGTGATTTCCCTAATTTGTATCATGCCAACACCCGCAACCTGCGAACGACACCGCTGAGCGTTTTCATCAAAAAACGGCAGACATGCCTTTGATTGGCATTGACATCGGGTCTCATTACTGCAGGTGAGTGGGATGTCGACCTTTATCGGGAAGCTTGAGTGCTGTTTTGTGTTTCCTGCGGACGAGTACAGAGGAACAATACTCTCACCTCACCATTAGAACTCAGTTCTCTGATGTGATGCGCTGCCTGGCTTTCTGCTGAGAGCAAATAAGATGGGATATGCTTATTAATATGAAAGAGCTCCAGTAAACTAGCTTCTTGCATTACCTTTGAGTGAGTCATAGAGAAGAGGAGTAGACAGATGAGACTTTGTTCTGCTTCCTCCCATTGGGCATTGCATGTACAGTGCTTTGATACAACTAGTTTTACAAGTATGGTAATCACGCTTTGCTTGTTATAAAATCATGTGAAATCTAAACCTATTAAAAATGCAGCAGAAAGTTAGCAATAATCTGCACATATTTTGCCTGCATCAGCTGTACATACTTATATTCGAAATTGTGAAAATCATGTATGATTTCTTTTTTTATTCTTATGAGCCGTCATATTTACAGACCTCTAGCATGACCCAACCTAGTTTTTGCCTCTGTGAAGTCAGCTAGAATTGTGTGCACTCTGTCACAAAAGATAACTTTCTCCCTTGTTTAGTTTCATTGGGAATTTGTTTTTACTGCATGTTTGCAGGCATAAATCATTCTGACAAATAACCAGTTACACTGGTGCCTGTGTTTACTGAGTCTGCCACAAGATGCTGCTCAGTTTTATTTAAACAACCGCTCCAACTTTATAGCACAACCCCATTACAGTGATAGTTATTCATCACAGTCTGAGAGAGCTGCCCTCCTAAAGCTCACAGCAGTCCAGCCGGTTCTCTTCTGTCAACATTTATTCTCACAGCGCCAGCTTTGATTAGCATGATCAAAACCTGTGATCAAAGATGCTGTTGTCCCTGTTTGTTCTGATTTCGTCTTTTCATTGAATATGCCTCATTAAAACTGAATATGAAAATGTACGAAATGCAAGAACAAATTGGACTGAACAACCTAATTTTAATCTAATGTAACTGATTATTAAACATTTCATTCTTACAAAGAGACTACAGTATAAGCATGTCAGCTTGTAGTCTCATAGAATACAATTCCTCCACCCTCAACCGCCCATTCCCCAAGACAAACAGCCTTATTAGTTGGTCATTAGCCGCCTCATTACATTTAAATACAGCCATTGGCTGGGCTCCTCCTGGAGTCTCATTACTGTTCCTCACAGTTGTCTTGTGTCTGATCTGACGCTAATTAGCTAGCAGCGTGAGTGCTGTAAAGCACACTTGCTCCTGAGGTCGTGAAATGAGCTGACTGCTCCCCGGCGACAGCGCAGCGCTGTATTATATGTGTGATTAATCAGGCCTGGAGACCCGGAGGGGAAGGGAGGGGAAGCGAGGGGGACGCAGGGGCAGAGGCTAGAGTTGCAGTTGTCTGACAGAGGTGCTGTGCCAGCAGGCCTCATTCAGCGGAGCTGTGATGAACTCAGACAGGGGAGAGTGGAGGAGCGCTGCGTGGCCAGAGGGGCCCGGACACAGTCAAGACATTTAGCTTCACTCGTGACTTGTGTCACTTTCTCTCCATGGAGGTCCCTTCAATGCATCCCCTTCAGATAAGAGGACGTGCGAACAGGCAGTCTGTCAGTCCGCACGCTTAAAAAAAGATCTGCCACAGAGGCATTTCTCCACAACAGTTTTTTATTTTTTTGCTATCTCTCATAGATGAAGAATTTTATCAGAACACTGGATTTCAGACTGCCTGTTGGTTTGTTTAGCAGTGGACAATAAGGATGACTGAGAGGTGTTTGTTTTGGCGTTCTGACACCCTGACAATGTGTTTGTCGATCAGTTCATCAGATCACTGAGGCCTCTGGGTTGTCCCTCATGCGCCAGGAGTAAGATCTGTTGAAGTGTGAGTCAGACTGGCCTGCTGGGCCCATTATCGTCCACTACTGATGGATACATTGAAGGGCTCACTGGATAGATGCGGGTTTATTAAAAGCTCTGCCCACAGCGGTGGCTGCTGTTATTTATGCATGTTTGTGTCCATTAGGCTTCTACCTTCACATTTCCTCACTCAGGGCATCTGTCCATCCATTTCCCCATATGAAGGGAGCCTTCCCCTGCACTTTGTGCTGCACTGGCATTATTGTAATCTCCATCCTAAAAACACACTGCTTTACATGTAGCCTGGCATCTTTTTACATTAGTGCAGCTCTCTCATCCAAGATTCATGACTGACGGTTTCCCCATCCATCCCTCAATCTAATGGTATAAAAGAGACAATGTTTTAAACATTAAAATGAAAACCATTTACAACTATGATCAAAAGAGAACACTTGGGCATTAAAGTTTAAAAGGCAAAGATAAGTACAGCCATGTGGATGGACAGATGAGGTGGAAAAGAGATAAAAAAGTGAAGTACAGTGCACTCTTATGCACAGGAAAGAGGCATAAAGTGCTTTTGCGCTGCACTGCAAAACGTTGACCTGTAATTAATATGGTTGTTCCTCTGGGCAAGTTGAGGATAGCGGCTTTTTGGGATACAAACCCCTAAAGGATTCTTACCTGCTCAAAAGCTTTGTAAAGCATTTTATATAAAACAAAACAAAAAAACAGTTCCATGTAATAAAACAAACGTAAAACAAACTGTTGTTGGGATCAATATTTGTTGTATTTATTGCTAATAGTTCCTGGTGTCTCATGTTCTATGATGTGTTCCATATGTATAACACAGAAAAACCTTCATTAGTGTTACATGACCGTGAGTCTTTTCAGAACATCCATCAGCTTCCTACAGTAGAAGAAATATTTGCGACTTTCTTTCTGGGATATCATGTTGACCCTGTTTTGTCAAGGTTTTTTTTTCTATAGCTGTATTTCTACTTGGCCCTCTTTCTTACCTTGCAGGTTCTGGAGGGGGAGCGTCATGATGCCCCCTGCAGCAGCAGCAGCCACCAGGCTCTGGATGTTGGCTGTGGGCAGAGAGAGAACGAGGCCCTGCTGCCCGCCCAGGTGTCCGCCTGCGTTGAAGGGGATGAGGATGGGCTGGTTCATGCCTGGCGCTGCCCCAGACATTACGCCGCCTACTGCGTTGGCCAGCTGCTGGGCCACCAGGAGAGACTGAAACACACATGCATAGGATCATTGGTTATAGAAACACAGATGGGTAGTTTATCATTATACATATTTTTTATATGACCAAAAATATCTTTATTGTGTTGTCCTAAACATTTTGGTCCTTCTTATACTGTAAGCTAAATAACATTACTGCTTGTAATGTGATTACTTTTAATTACAGACAAATTACATTACCATATTTGAGGTACATAAAAGAAAATTATATGAAAGTAAATTCTCAACTATCTCAGATTTTATACAAATACCCAGCATGCCACATTTTCCAAGTTCTAATCCTGTGTTCTTGTGTTTATTGTTCAGTTACCTGTCTCATTACATGCTAAATATTTCCCGATTCCTAGTCTAACAGCGCGGGTGAGGGAGGTGCGTGGAGGCCAACGATCCTCTGCAGCTCCCTCCACAGTTTGGTACTGTGTGTCACCGTTTTCACTAAGACACGTCCCTCTTTTTAGCCCTCTAGTAACTAAAACTCATCCACGTGCGAAAATATGTCACATTACAGAAACTAAACATGCTCAAAGTTAAATGTAAATATAAAGCGTTTCCTCTAATAAGAAAACAATATAAGGTAATGTAATCGATTACAGTAACATCTAACATCAAGGCAAAATACCATTAATGTACTCTTATACTTAACGCTGGTTGAAATCATGAAGAATCACTGTTAGTTATTACATGAGACCAAACTCAAGTTTATTTTGTTTTTAATCACAGCTTGCTCAAAATCTCTGTAGTCAATAACTGAATTATCACCTGTCATTACTTGTGTGTTGTTGAACACTTGTTTTGCTACAGAGTAAGGGCATCACATTTAGTTGATGTATTTACACTATCTTCTATCCTGGGATGCTTGATTGAGACAAGTATAGCAGTAGCGACTGTATCACTAATCAATGTATTCTGATGAATGCAGTTGTTTTGCAGATTAATTCTGGGCTTTGCTGTGTCACAGACTGACAGTAAAAACACACTGCCGTCGGTACTGACAGAGATCAAATCCAATCTTTGTGAAAGAGCTGCAAATTTTTTCTTTCACAGAGATGCAGAGTGATTTATGTTTCATCCCATTGAACAAATCTGTGGTACCACAGAAATGTGCCTGAAATACACAGTGCTTTTCGGGGGAAAAAAAAAAAGTAGCAGTACTTCACTCTTTTTGATGAGGGATATAACACATCACTCTCGTCTCTTCATGTACCCATTCATTCATATTAGCTAAAGCGGAATCTGTGCAGTCATACCCATAGAGGAAAAGATATGTTATCACAGCTATCGCTCTGATATATTTTACACAGTAGAAGATCTCGTCAAATGTATTTTCCGAGGAAGTGGGTTTGGAAATACACCTTTTTTTCTTTTAAGAGCTTTGAGCCACAAGTGGGAAGGTTTGTACCGTGGCTGAAATCTCCATGAATACACAGAGAATGACATCTTAAATTTCATTCATTCTGATAAAACCTTTTTCAAATTATGTCAGCATTTGAGCATGTCAAACTGAATTTACACAGGAGGTACGAGACAGGAGATACCGAAGATGCTGCAGAATCCAACAAAATTACTGTTTAAACATCGAATTGAATTGTTTGGAATAAAATATAATAAAAGTACATTGTCAGCTTGTGTTGCGTCCACAGTAAAGCAGCCTTTAGACGTTGCTAGGTAAGCCTGGCTGCACTGTGTTGACTCTGTGACTTACGTTCACAAGCCTTTAACTCCAATTGTCAGCTATCTGCTTCTGTTTTGCATGGTGTGTCTGCAGCTTGCACAGGATGCGGAGCGGGCTGACTGGTGCGAAGACCCCACCATGCTCCCAAGCCTGGTGCTCCTGGGTGACAGGCGTGTCACTGTGATAACCCTGCATGGTGTAGAATGCCTGCACCTACTCCGACATACATGTGATCACAGTTTAAGAGGTACGAGGTCATGTGGGTTTAAAGCCACAGAGCATGGAGAGATCTCAGGGCGAAATATCTGCACTGAGAGACAAATGAATACCTGTTTGTGTTTCTAAGCTGTTAAAAGAATAAAAAAGCACAGAGTGATGATTGTTGCTGGCAAGAGTAATCACACACACGGTATAGAATTCCTCTTTCTCAACATTGGCTTTGATACGCAACAACAGTACATAACAAATGACAATATCTGACGCTTCTGAGAGCATTCAAAATGACATTTGCCATTAACTTTAAAAAATGAATTAATAATTCGGGCGCTCAAAGAATCCTCAAAGGACAATAACAAAGGCAACCCGTTTGTTAGCTGCAAGTGACATATGTTTAATCTCGCATTTTAAACTAAATGTAATCTTGATTTGAAGCAGCATATAATCAAAGACACTCTTTGAACATTTCATCTTGGAGTCAAACAAAATGAGATTGCCAGGCTTGACAGCAAAGACAGCCTCACATATAAGGGAATAACATTAAAAGACAATCCTGCAATTATCAGATGTAGCCCTGATTTATTTATCATTACAGGCAGCTTTGGAGAAACAGGCAGCTGTTAGGCACACAAGCAGCTGAAGAGAGAAAGCACTTTTTTAAAGAGATTTTTTTTAAGGAAGAGGTCTTAGTCTTTAGGCTGTTTGTTGTGCCAGTTTAAGACTGATTATTATCTTCATCTGAGGTGAGAACGCTGTATGTGCACACATTAAAATCAGAGATAAGAATACATTTAGAGTGAATATAATTAGCTCAACTTCGCAGCCACACAGCAAGCTTTTACTACGAGAATCTCCAGCATCACTCATCCAGATTTACAAGCAGTTTCAAGCACCTTCTGCCTTTTTGCCTGAAACTCTCACTCCTCCTCTCCATAGGTGCTGTTGGAAAAGCTGTTGTACAGTGCTTGGCAGGCCTGACAGCTGCGTGTTGAGAAGCGCTCTCCTAGGGGCCACACAGACGCACAGGCTGGGTATGGGTTGAGATCTGGATGGGGAAGCAGCCCCGCTCAGGACTGGATGTGGTACCCAGCCTCTCTGCCCATCAGGGGAGAATAGGCCCTTCTATCTGCTTGGCAGCTCTGGCACTGAGAAATTGCCCATAATCACCCAGATAGCAGACTTTTGTCATCCTAACTGCGAGTGGGAAACAGAAGGAAGGTGGATTCATGTTGGGTAAACTACCATCGGATAATGGTTGTTCGAACAATATCCGGCTCTGGAGCGAGAATCTATCAAAACATATTGATCCTGGAACAAGAGAATTGGGTATGGCATGCGGAGCGCCTTTGTTTCTGAAAAGTGTTAGCTTCACAGAGACTGTACTGACAGCATTAATATATTAGATGGTGACTGTTGAGAGCCGCCTGCTGAGGCTCAGACTCTAACTGCTGCCTGCTCGAGATGCCTTCTCTTTTGTGTTTATTTCTTATCTATTATCCAAACAGTGGCTTTGACCAGCGAGGGTATCTGTAATCAGAAAAGTGCTTTTAATTAAGCTCATTTTTTATCTCCACTTGCAGCAGATTGACTTTCACTAGGGATTTCTCTCGACATAAACCTGCCCGACAGAACTGAAACGGCTCTCCTCCCGTCTCGTGTTTCCTCTTTTGTTTATCCTGATGAGGATTGACTGTCATTGAGTAACACTGAGTGCAGAGAGAATGGCCTTATTAAAGAGGGTGGAGGAAACCTGACGATCTCTGTGTGTGTGTGCTTGTGCGTGTTGAGCGGTGACATTGAGCAACACTAATGAGATAGATGTTCATTAAACATCGCCGAGCCACCAGGCCAATAAATCCAATCAGATAGGACAATTCCTGATTGAGCTATTAACAGGGCTGCAGGCTCGGGCTCTTTGCTCCCCTGCTTGTTTTGACAAGGCCGGTATTGTCAGCTCATTAGTGCCACAACTCAATTACATGTGAAGATGATGTGTGATGACAAAATACTTTACGATTTCACATTTTAGCTGAATATTATTTAGCGTCAGTGGGGGTGTTTTATGTTTCTGGTTTCATTCACCACATGCACTGAGAGGATGTGAATGTAACAAGACTAAGTCAGCGATTTTGTTACTGAAACTGCCATGCAAACGCTTTAATCTTACTCCCATTATGGCTGTGATCAGAGTAAACTGTCAATCTTTCAAATTACTGACTAAAAACTTAGATTGGCTCCTTTGAGTGCTTTCATTCTCCACGTGTGCAGCAGTGGTCATCGAATGGCTAAAAAGAGCAGTGTGTTCTCATGGAGGCAAAGCCCACAAACTAAACGAGGGGACCGGAGACAACGTCGGACCGCTCATCATCAAAAAGAAGGATGCTTAAGCCAACCAATCAGAGAACTCGGTCCTCCCTTGACTTCTCATGCACCCGGCCCCGGTTTGTCCGATCATTTATCATCATTACTGTATCACACACTGATGGTTACGGTGACACTGCTACAGTCAAACCGGTGGAGATTGTTCAGCACAGAAACTCAGAAAGTGCTTACAACGGGAATTTTGATTTCATTCAGTCTACATTGTTCCTATATTAAGGTCATTTGATGAGGGACGGTCAACACAGTCAGATGGAGGCCTTTTCAGTGGATCTGATATAAGTATTATATACCTGTATCTCCTTCCTTCTTAACTCCTCTAGGTGTGGAGCAGGTGTTTGAAACCTGATGAGGCTGGCAGTTTTTTGCCTCGGTCTGTTCAATGTTTCGCAGTAATTTTAAGAGGTTTGAAATTAGTAAAAATAGGGTCAAAATAGTTAAAGCCATTAAAAAGAGTGTAAAGAACTTGTAACCAAATGCAACAAGAAGTCCTCCTTCAGGAGGCAGGCATTTCCGAACTCACAGCCAATCAAAGGCTGCCTCAAGATGGACGGTATAATTAGAGGAAAAAAGACCTTCAGATGCAAAAAGAATCAATGTATTACATGTGAATAAATGTGACAATAGTGTATGTTTTAAAGAAATATTTTGAAGATTTGAAGTTTTCAGGGGCAATAAATAGGCAGACAAACAACAATGGCAGATCAAGAGATAATAAATTGATTCTTTTTGCAACTTCTCCAACTTTTGTTGTTGTTTGTGTGCTCCTATTTGACACAGTTACTCTTGGCTGCACACACCTGACACTGCTGCTTGAAAATACTGGGTCGAAGAGCACAAACTCTTTTACATTTGTGTGTCTAACATCTTATTATGCCAGTTTCCTTTTAATGTTTATGTTAACTTTCTCCAGACCTCTGTGAGCTTTACATAAAAGAGTGTAACTCAACTGTTATAGCTGAGGACAGGCATCTACCTCTTCTGCAAACTTCCTGCCTCAATCAAAATCTGAGCTTATGTGTTCACATTATCACTGATTAAACAGAGTGTTTTAAGTTTGGCTTTATTTTGTTGCAGATCCCCTGACTCACCTGTGGACCCATTGGGTATCCTGGGTGTGACTGGCCCAGTTGACTCTGTTCAGAGGGACTGCTGCTGGCGTCAGACTGGACCGAACCATCACGAGCTCCTGGGAGAGCAACAGTCAGAAAAGTAGAAAGAGAAAACAAACAGCCCACCTTAGATCAACACGGACAATATAAGTAGATAAACACACAACACAGACCACGCTGTGATATTACAACACAGAGCGTCGCACGGCGCAGAGGAGGGCAGTTGGGAAAGAAGGGGAATTTGTATTTAAGTGCTTTATCAATAACCGCTGTAGCAGTGAATAAATTACCAACCAGCAGAGAGGCTCATTGATGGGGGATGATGCATACTGGCGGGTCCCCGATGGCCTAGATTACCGCTGAGAGATAGAGCTCCACCACAAACGCTGGGGCCATATTATTCAGCCATTTACATCACTGAGTATCACTCATCTAAACCCACTCCCCCCCCTCCGCTCTGAGCCCGCAGCTACGAGACACAATTAGACCTGTTTGCTATGAGGGCAGAGTGGAGCAGAGCAGACAGGGACATGATAATAAGCTTGCTGATGGCTGCAGGGAAAATAAAGGACACAGACGATTGGATATCATAGCAATCCCTATCTAACAGAATCTCTCAGCAGTGCACCGAGTGTGGACTGCCCTAAAAGGTCCGAAAGGCTGCTTTGACCCTCACCCTTTGACCCCGACGATATCGAGATGGCACGATGCCCTCACTGTTGACACAAAGGCTTGTGGAGTGCAAAGACGAGTAAATCTTGCAGAAAGAACTGTCAGAAAAATGAAATATCGCTTAGATGTCTTTCACCAAAATGACTGTCTGGAAGAAAAATACAGTACCACCTGACTAAAAATGACTGGAACAAGTTAATGCGAAGGGCACTTGGCTCTTTCTAAAGCAAGAAAGTATTGTTCAACCTCAACAATAGTCTTGGGAACGTGGACAAATCAAAGATCATTTTTAACAATTTTAATGAAAAACTATACCAAACAAATTGACAAGCTCACACTGATCTTCACGGGGATCGCTGTAAAGATGTTGTTTCGTGGTTTAAGGGACGAACTTCTTTTGAACAAGCTGGTGAAGGTGAGGTTGTAGTGCGGCAAAAATGTGGTAGTGTGGTGGCTGGTTGTCAATACAGTGCAAAACGTCTACTCACTGATTCATCTCGCTCATTAATCTCTGCGCCAATGACAAATTCAGGCCTTCAATTGATGCCAACCTCCGTGTTTTACAACATTAGCCTCAACCTAGGTGAATATGACTGTCCTCGACCTTCAAGCAGTTATCCAAAGTATTTAAGCATCTTTGGAAACATCTCTATCAAGTTGTCTTTTTTTGTACAACATTTTGTATGGCTCTGATTGAGTGTTGAGTTTGTAGAGAGTTTGTCTTTCCCATAATAACCAGCGATTCAATCATTTCAAAACCATTTGAATCAACATCTAGTGATAGTGATTGGATTGTTTTCTTTTTCTTCTTCTTCTTCTTCTTCTTCTTCTTCTTCTTCTTCTTCTTCTTCGGATTTATTTAATATGAGTGCTTGGAGCTCCTGTTAAGTCAATTTAAAAGCACAATAACACTGACTTATTTATTTATAAAATACCAACGCGATCATTTTACAAAAAGGTTACATGTCATCAGTGATTTAATAAGCATGATTTAGTTTTGAATGTATGATACAAAACCCCTCATAAAAAGTGAATAAAACATCTTTTTAAATGTACTCTCTCCTTCATAAAACAGCTCTTCCTCTGAATAAAGTGGATTTTGTAGATGAAGTCAAGCCAACCATGTGGAAACATGTTTGAAGGCCACACAACCTTGTTACACAGCACAATGTTGGCAATGAATTAAAAAAATGTAATCACATTTCCACTGTATGATCGATTTTCTTAAATGGAATATCGCAGCTTTTAAATAAAGAATAAAGCCCTGGTGTATTGTGTCTTTTTATTCAAGGATGAATAGGCTTTTTCTTGTTAAACATACAGGGCATGCAGTGGTTTGTAGTCCTTTTATAAAAGCATCATACAATACGTACTATTGAATAGCCTTGCCAGCAAGATCTCATTGCCTGTCAAGTATATTTATGCATTACATTTTAAACTCCCCTCCGCCAACTAAAATCATTTCATCTTTACATAAAATCCAAATAATTGGTGAATGGCATGACCTAAGAAACCTCAAGCATTTGATGGTTGATGTGAAAGCCCAAGGGGAAGCCTGCTTTTCTAGCTGGTTTCTACCTCTGGCTGGCTGGCTGGCCCTGCTTCTGGATGAAGGTCCACATCCTCTCGCTTATCAACCTCGCAACGCAGTGGTTATTTTGACAAGCCAGTCTCTTTTCACCAATTATTTCACCCATTATGGATCACATTGTGCACAGCCCCACCCTGTGCCCTCAGTATCTGGAATTAAGATCAATCTGAGCATACAGGAAAGACGCTGTGGCTTGTATTAGAGGCAAAATAAAGCTGCAGATAAAGTACTATATTATTATAATCTGCTGTATAATTTCACATTTATTTTGAGAGTGGATATTATGAGGCCATACATTTTTTACTTAATTTAATTAGAGGTATAGTCTCTAAGCAGTTAATTTTCACTCTGGATGTTATCAAATTAAAGTAATTTCTTTCCTGCTGACTTGAAACGATCTGATTTTCATTTACAGCAACTCAAACTTTTCCACCATCTCAGAGGCAATTCTCTGAATGCAGCTGCCACACTGTCATAACAATAATAAACCCAGCAGTGCTGCTGAACAACTTCTACACCAGTGAATTATCTAGTTATCGTCATAACAAAGCCAATTAGCTAAATTAAGAGATTCGGCTATAATGAAGGAATGAGACTTTATAATATCATCAATAGGCTCCAAACAGCACAGCTCACGACTGTAGTTAATATATTGGTTGTGAATAATGTATTCTATCTGATAAACAGTGTGGGAGACTTTCTGAATAACGATTATTTGATGCCTTTCATTGCATCATTTCACAATAACTTAGAAAGCTTCATCCCCTTGCAAATATCTGTAACGTTAACACGTTTATCGCAGGGGGGAAAATCAATAATAAATAAATACACATGCACATCTTCCCCCAAAGGATTTGTGTAATTTCTTTAACTAAATTAAATAGCTGACAGGAGAAATATCGAGGGAGTCAATCTCCAATTCTTTTTTATTACCAGAATCTTTGTACATGTTTTGCTTTTGTTTAAAAAAATGTACTTAACCAATTCTAAGCCGATTCTTAAATAGATTTCCAGATGAAGATTAATACTATATACAGGAGGAAAAAATAGAAACTTTACTCAAAAGAAAGTCCTTTGATACCATGATTATACACAGGTTATACAATGGATAAAATGGAATGAATGGACATATTGATGTGAGGCGAGATGAAAGAAGAGGCCAAACGGATAAAAGAACAGGAGACGTACATTCAACATAGCTTTGCATTATCTAGGACAGTCAGGCTTCATCTCAAGTGCCTGTAAATCTTCACTCTGAATAACAAAAAACACTTAATATACACGTGTGTTCTTCATAGCCTTGACTGAAAGTAACAGGATGAACTAAATTACAAGAGTTGTACAAATTCCGCACTCATTCTGACAGTGACATGATCTTCGGTGAAAATACTCTTTTTGTACAAAGTGAAATAATTACATTTATAACAGGGCACAGAGTGCAATTTGATGTGACTTATGTCATGGAAATATAGCCAATATCCACTGCTATATAAATTCTCTTTCATTGATCACCAAAGTGGCCACTGGAGAGCGACTTTCAATGCCACACAAGGCAGAAGGTCTCTCTGTACTGTGTGTGTGTGCGTGTTGGGTTGTTGGGG